GTGGCGCGGCGCATGCGGGCGACCGCGGCGCGTACGTGTACACGTGCGTCTTTATCGTGATCTTGTCTATCGTGCGTGCGTTTGCTCTAAGAGCGTGTGCTCTTAGGCCGCTTTCACTGCGCCCGCGCGAAGCTGCGCCGGGGCGCGGCACGTAGCCGAGCCGTGGGAGCAACTCTCTCGCCCCGCCAGCCGCGCTGCCGCCCCGCCGCCCCGCTACCGCAGGCCGAAGCCCTTGGAGTTGCGGATGGCGGTGGACAGGCGGTCGCGCAGCTTGGCGCGCGTGGCGTAGTGCGGCAGGAGGAGCACGTTGAAGCACGTGTGGCTGGTGGGGAGCCGGTTGCTGTCGCCGCCGGCCCGCTGGATGATCAGCACCAGCTTGCCGAGCCCGCCGATCGGCGCCCGGTCCGTCCCCGTCACAAACCCCAGGAACAGCCGCTTGAGCTCCACGTCGTACTCGCCCAGCACCTGCCACAGGTGCTGCATCACCGCCTCGTCGCGCTGGTACCCCTCGTACTTGGCCACGCCACGCAGAGCCTCAAAGTCCAGCTCCCGCTCCCCGACGAGCAGCGTCTCTAGCTCGTCCGCGCTCAGACGGTGCACAAACGGCCCCGCCAGCATCAGCGAAAACCCCATGGAAAAGTGCTCAAACGCCTTTTCCACAGATTTGTTGATAACAAAGTCTATGTACAGCCGCGCAAACTCCTTCCGATTCCCCTTCGTCACCGCCGTTTTCCCACCGTTTGCCATCAGCTCGTGTGTTTCCACCTTGCCAAACAGCCCCTCATACGGCACTTCAAACTCCAGTCCAAATACCTCTTCCACGTCATCCCCTTCGTACGCCAGCAAATGACCAACACTCTTCCCGATGCTGGGAAACGTTTCCAGCACGTCCTCCAAGTTGGCCTCGTATTCCTCCAATAACCCCTCCTCCCAGTTCGTACTCCCGTTTTGCTCCGCACGCACCCGCGCCACCTTGTTGCGCAACCCAATCTGCAGCTTCCGATAAAACACCGGCGGGAACTGCACATCCAGCAAAATCGAGTTGAACGCTGCCATCCCAAACATGATCCCGATTAGCGTCCATGACGTTTCCGACTCCAGCGAGTCCCGTTGCAACCAGTGGTACCGCGTTTCCTCGTCATACCGAAACATCCCATAGTCGGCCGATAGCACATGCTCCAGCAGCACCTGGTAAAACTCCTTGCGCACCCCGCCTTCGTCCACCCCGTCCTCCCCATCAAAGATCACTTTCAGAGGCTTGTGAAGCTCCCGCGGGCTGTGCTGTGCGTATTCCGCAACCTTGATAAACGCGTCCGATACTATATTATCCCGACGCACTTCCAGTACCAGGTATCGCAGCTGTGCAATCTGTTCTGGAGGTAGCCGCATGTTAGCAATCTGACCTAACGGCGTGATCTGCATCGGCAATGACCCAAATGACAGCACCGATCGCATCGACTCTTTGTTCATCGTCAGCAACGATTCCAACTCCAGTATCTTAAACTTGGCAACCGCCGACAGCAAAAAGCTATACTCGCAAAACGAAAACTTCCCCTCCGGCTCGTCCGCTGACGGAAGCGGTGGCAAGTCCGCCGCCTCGGCCGACAGCAAGTCCGGCTTTGACTCGGACCACCGCTGATAGTCTTGCCGCAAGTTCACCCGCTCGCTCACCATCTCGTTGTAAAACTCCTCCCGCTTCACGAAAAATCGTCGCTTTTTTTTCCGTTTCGTAGCATAGTATACACCATGATACACCAGTGCCAGCGCCTTGGTCGCATACTTTGCGTTTTGCCTCACTTTCCCGNNCGCTCCACCACCAACTCCGGAGCGCAGTTGCCAATCATCCTCAAAAACGCTTCACGCCCTTCTTGCTCACAACGCAGCAATATCCCCGCAAACTCGGCGAGCTGTGGCGCCCTTGCCCGTTCCATATACACAGGATTCAGAAATGCCAAAATCAACAAGTGCCCGCTCGCCGCACTATTCGCCACAGACGACCGAAACATGTCGTCATCATCCACGTACTGCGACCGCGGCGTCACCAACCGCAACGGTTGTTTAGCATCTCCGGAATACTGTTCCAACCAAGTCGCGAGCGCAAGCCCGTCATCCTTCAAAAGCCCAAACGCAACCTGTGTTTCATGGCGCAGTCGCGCCGCCGCATAACCCAACACCCGCATCCCCTCCTTTCCAAACAGTTGCTGGAAACTCATATACGCCTTATTCATCCCATCAATGTCCAGCTTCAAATCTGCAAGCACCTTATACTGCGGCCTCACAAAGCTGCGCATGAGCACCCCCGCAGACCCAAACCGCGACAACCCCGCCCGTGCCTGCAGCATCTTGTCAACAGAACACCTCGGGATATGGCTAGCATACACCTGCTGTGCCGAAACCACCGCAACTTGAGGGTCGGCCGTGACCATAGCCAGGTTGTGAAACCCCCCGCAAATGAGCTGTATAAATCGCAACGGCAAATTCCCATTCGCATTCTTGTTCACCCCCTTTGCACCCGTCGACAGGTAGTGCGTATCATTAATCCTTGGTGGCGAGATGGAAATCGGCAGCAGTTTATCATTGATGTCTCCGTCGCCAATCTGCCCCTGGCTGCCGTCACCCCACAAGTAGGCCTCGCCATTCTCCGTCAGAGCGCCAGAGTGCTGATCGCCGGCAGACACAGACACAAACTTGACCGGCAACGACAAGGTCGTCGGCGTATATAGCGTCTGCGTCGAACGCGTCCCGAGCTGGCCGCTCTCCCCTTTCCCCCAGGTTGCAATTTTGCCGTCGCTTCTCAGTGCCACCGTATGCGACGACCCGCACGCAACGTCCACATATGTGGTCACCTCTTCGGAATCTTTGGCACCCTCTTCTTCTTCCTCCTCTCTCATGCCCTTACTCCCAGTCATTTGCACATCGCCATCGTGATCAACCTTGGAAGCAGCATCTCCCTCCGGAGAAATGGGCGCGACGACTGGCGTGAACGAGCCGACCTGAACGCGAAAAGCCGACTGTCCTAGCTGGCCATGTCTGTTACTCCCAAAACCGAGAATAGCGCCAGACGCCGTGAGCACGGCCGAGTGCAAGTCGCCTGTCGAGATAGCAACAACGGGATGAGGCCACAGTGCAGCAACACAGACCGGGGTGTCAACCTTTGCGGCCGTGGCGAGGCCAAGTTGGCCGGACGAATTTCTGCCGCATGAATAGACACGCCCCATGTTGTCCAGGGCGAGCCAGTGAAACTCGGCGGCGGCAATGGCAACGATACGGATGCCGTCCAGGGCGCGCACGCGGGTGGGAAAGGTGACGTTGACGGTGCCAGCTCCCAAACCCAGCTGCCCGTAGGCTCCCGAGCCAATGGAATAAAGGGATCCAGAGGAGGTGAGGAGAAGGGCAAAATCTCGTCCGACGGCAACGGAAGCGACGGCGGGGATGGCTGACTCGTCCGGCGGCGCAGCGGTGCCAGGGATGAGGGATAGCGGGTGGGAGTCCTTGAACGACTTTCCGCTGGTAGTGAAAACGGCGGAGCCGTTGTGGGTGACGATGAGGGAAGCCCACAGGCCGGCGGCGACAGCTTGCGGGGCGGCGCTGGACTCCAGGGATGGGAAGAGACGCGGGTAAGGTTGAATCTCTGCACGGGTGGCGCCGAGCTGCCCATCTGCGGCGCTTCCCCATCCAACAAGGAAGACGCGCGCCATGACGGCGCGAGGTTGGTGAAGGGGTATTGCGAGCGTAGGACAAGGGTGAGGTTGAAAGGAGGTGGAAGAGCGGGTCCTCTGCGGACGTATGACTCTTCAAGTAGAATGATGATATGGAAGGTGCACTGTTTTTACGGCTATTTTGCCGGTCGCCCATTTTGCACCCATTCAACCACAACCGCAAAAACGAGCTCTTTGAGCACTTGTGGTGCCAGGCTTCCATCTCGCACATCAACTAACGATATAGATGTCCCTCACGTCACCTGCATCTTGCTCCCCCGTCCCCACCCCCTTCGTGCCCACCCCCTTCGTGCCCACCCCCTTCACGCCCTCCCCAGTCTTTCACAGAGCACACCATGACCGACTACCAGCCACTCGCCTTCGTCCCAGGGGGCGGCCTACCGGTGCGCAATTTGCATCGCACGCGCCCCGTCACCCTCTCCCCCTCGACGTACCCGGGCGCGCGCTTCCCGCTCCGACGACCGCGCCCACGTCTGCCTCTACCGCTGCACCGCACAACACCCACCGCCGTCTTCCTTCCGCCGGGCGGCATACCCCACATCCCGGACGACGACGACCGCCCACACGACGACGCCGGCACGTCTGACACCGACCTGGACAGCGAGCTCTCCCCGCCCGACACGCCGCCACCCCCCAAACCGGCGCACCAGCTCAACACCATCGACCAGCTGCTGGAAGAGACAGTGCCCGAATACGAAACATGGGTGGAGCGCAACGCGCGGCGGTCGCTGACGACGTTTCGCGGCGGCTCCGAGTGGACGCTGGGAGCCGAGGAGCTGAATGAGTCGCTGAGGCCATCCTTTCTGCAGCGCCACCGGCACGTGCTAGCGCCGGACGAGGCGTTCGGCGCGCTTTTCATGTGGAACGTTGTGGTGAGCAACGCGCGCGAGCTGGAGCTGCTGGCGTGGCGGGCGGTGGCGGAGGAAAAGCAGCTGATGCCGCCGGACATGGACGACATTGTGCGGGCGGAAGACATGGCGCCCGAAGCGGCTGTGTCGCGCGTGTTTTTTTGGACGCAGGACTGGGGCGAGGTGAAGCGGTGCGTGTTCCGCAAGCAGGAAGTGATGGCCGAGCTGGAAGGGACGTTCGAGTACTCGGCGACGCGCGGAATCGAAAAGTGGCTCGAGATGTTGGAGCGGTACGGCATGCCGTGCATCCTGTGCGCAAGCGGGCAGACCAAGGAGCGCGTGCGCGGGATTGTGGGCAAACTCGGGCTGGGCAAATACTTCAGCAGCAAGGACATGGTGTCAAGCGAGGACGAGTTCGATTCTTTAGAACAAATGCTGCTGGTAGGATCACTGAAGTCGTCGCGGCCGCCCGGGAAATGTGTGGTGTTTACGGACAAGCCCAATGGGATTACGGCCGGGCATGAGGTGTCGGCGAAAGTGGTGGGTTTGATAGGGGCGCACCCGGCGTACGAGATGAAGACGGCGGATCAGCTGGTGGCAGGTTATGATGAGCTGGTGGTGTATAACATGCGGCGATTGTTTTCAGAGGAAGGGATGGAGATGATGGACGCGCAGACGCAGCTCGAGTTTGACCGTGGAATGAATTAACATCCTGGACAGGTGAGGTGGGTTGACCGTCTCTAATCGCCTTGCCTTGCCCCTCTTGCTTCGTATCTCATGTCTCCTGTCTCTTTCCTCTTGCCTCTTGTCTCCCCCCTCATCCTGACCGCCCCTCGGAGGGAATGTACATTCGCAACTCGTCAGGCTTTTTAATACTGACTTCGATTTCGACTATTTGACTACGACTCTAACCTGACGCGGTAGGCGTAACCGCGAGGCACCGAGCGAGCTGTAAAACCGGGAATCCACGCACTGCGTTTATTGTTCTCAAGTTCGCTGCCTTCCTTCCTACTCCGGGGTCGCCCCTCCTCTTAAGTACTCGTCCCCCAGGGGGCCTGCACCCTCCCGGATCCCTTCCCGTATCCACGCCTTCGCCTACCGCCCCTCCGCATTGCGCTTCTTTCGCTCCGACCCCTCCCAAGTCCGTCTTCCCGCGCACAGCCTGGCCCACCCTCGACGGCCCGACGGCAACGGCAACCGACGGCGACACGACGCGGATCCCCCGCGCTTTCGGTTCCCTTCGCATTTTCGCGGGCGCTCGGTATCCGCTCGTAGGCCGCCCCGCACACGTCGCCCACGCGCACACGCAATTTTGTCGCAACAGTATGGTTGTAGTTACAAATGCGCCCCCATACTACACACACATCCCGTCATGGCCTGCCGATGTTATCAATCAACTCAATAACTCTCTTCAAACCCTGCAGATCTCCTTCCCGAGTTGCCGTCAGTTCGAGATCAATGCACCCCGATGTTCATCCTCTACCACAATCGACAAGCACAATCGACAAGCATAGGGAGATTTGTGATTGCATTAATCATGATATTTTTGCACTTCACGTCCCCATATAAAATGTCTTCCGTATGGCCACAGAATGGCATCTGTGATCTCGCGCTTCCATAGAATGCTTTGCTCTGCAGATGCAGACTTGACGCATCCGAGTGACATGCCATTTATACACAGCGCAAAACACCCCTCTGTTGCCCCCGTCCTCGGTAGCCACTACACCGTTCATAGGAATACCTTTTGCGTGACGCGGCATGGATCTCAGAGTGGTGAGCTCCTTCAGAACTCGTCTTTGATATTGCCCGTGAATAGTATTCAAAGTAACTGTCGATGGCGGGGAGTACTTTCTGAAGACTGTACACACAGCTGATGTACCTGGGTCTGTTGAAAGATGAGTAGATCTGAAAACGGGTTTTCAATCGGATCTGGATGAAGTTTCAGCAAACGGTCATGTTGAAAAGCCTGCGGAGAGCCGCCAATGGTTTTGACCTGCAGCCTCATCACTGGGACCTTCCCACCATCCGCGTCTTCACTTGCCGTGTTGCTCGCCTGCGCAATACGATCAATACGTTCCTTGACAAAAGGCCAGAAAATATCAGCTTATTTAATTGTGCATCTGCCAGGAGTTGATCAACGTCTGTGCCCACGCAGTTCTACATCTCCACGTGAGCTTTTGATTGACTATGACGGGGTGCGATATCATTTTCTTCTTGAGTACAATTTTGAGTTTCCGGAGAGCAAGGAGAATAGATACTTGCAAAAAATCGATGATTTGAATGACATGGTCGAACGACCTGACTAAAAGGACGGCACAACATTTCATGTGCCTCATCTTGGATACGTCCGGGAAGGAATTAGGCATGTTGCAGAATCACGATGTTACAAACTAGCTGCGTTCAAACTCTCTCAAAATCTCTTCGAGGGGCAGGCGCAAAGCGAAAAGCGCCGTCCAGATGGATGTTTTCGCAGTTCATTTGTCGGGGGACTGCAGGCTTGCAGACTTTAGACTTGAACGCAGTCTTCAGTATAAAAGTGACAGTGCAAGCACCATTGAAGAATTGTGCAAAATCATAGAGCTGTTCTTAACGCCTGTGACCCGAGTTACACCGATGAAACGTGGCAAGAGGCGCTGCTCGTCTTGGAAAGCAACAGCGAATAAAACCTTACCAAGTGTTAGGTGCTGAACTGCTAAGCGAATGGACACCTCCCCACGATCTCCTTCCTCTTCCCTCTCTCCCCCCCCCCGCACCATGAGCTCCTCACCCATCGTCCAGCCACTGTCCCGTCACCATCCCGCCACCATCCCGCTACCGTCCCGCCCGCAATGGCCTTCGTCCCGACTCCCTTCCCGGCAGCGGCCCGCCATGCTTCCCGGTCCCGCTCACGCCCGGCAGTTTCCATGACCACGCCCGCGGCCGCCCCAGCGTCGCCCGCGAAACGCTTCTCCCGCCGCGTTGTCCTGGCCGCCGTGGCCTCCGCCGCAGGCTCGCTGGTCGCCGCCGAAATCTCTACCGCGGCCGCCTCCACCCTCCAATACACTGTCGTCAAGCACGGCCAGGGCCCCACTGCCGCCGTCGGCGACCTGATCGGCATCCGCTTCAAGGGCGTGTACAACGGCGTCGTCTTCGACAACCTGTTCGAGCAGACCAAGCCCTACTTCTTCCGCGCCGGCTCGGAAACCATTCTCAAAGTACGTCGCCCACCCCCCCACCCCCCTCCGCCCCCCCTCCGCCCGTGGGTTAGCGCACTGCCGCCTCCGTCCACAGCGTGCCTGACCTCTGTCTCGTTCGCAGCGCAAGCCGCGCGTCTTCGCGCACGCCATTGTGCTCTACGTCTAACACCCCTACCCGCTTTCACTTGCGCCCAGGGCTTGGAAGAAGCCGTGCTGCTCATGAAGGTTGGCGACGTCTTCGACTTGACCCTCCCGCCAGAGCTGGCCTTTGGCGCCAAAGGGCGACGCGCGAGTGCAGGAAAGCCTGCTATTCCACCAAATGCCACCATCAATTACACGCTCGAGCTTTCCACCATTCCAGGCAAGGAACGCGAGTTGCTCGAGGATATTGAAGACGCTGACATCTGACTGCCCGTCTTGGAAAAGAAGACTATCGCCCTCCGACCGTTTCAAAATATAAACTTAATCCCTGCCTTCTCTTTCCGACTTCGCAGTGCGCCTGAGACAAGCTTGAAAACAGCTTCTCCGTTGGTTTTACATCGCCGCCGCCCACGCAAATTCGGGCTACCTACCGAAACAAAAAAAAGGAGCTTCTATTACTTCAACCATCCCGCCTGTCCCGCCTCCTTCCTTTCGCTCTCAACGTTCGGCGCCGCCACTGACGTCTCTTTTATCGACTCGATTGCTCCCAAATTGAGCTGCAACGTATCGGCGTCCAAATAGACCCGGTTCTGCGACCGCTGTACTGTCACAGCGATATCCCTGGCTGCCTCGATCCTGCGCAGCTGGATGAAGGCCGGGTTGTCCCTCATTGCGTCCCCGATCATCGTCGCCGACCGCGCCTCACCCTCGGCCCGGATGATAGCCGACTTTTTGTCTTGCCTGGCCTTCTCCACGATGAATCGCGCCCGCTCGGCCTCCTGCTGGGCGACCTGCTTGGCCTCCACAGCGGCCGTGTACTCCTTCCCGAACGACAAATGCGTGATGGACACATCGTCGAGCAGGATGTTAAAATCCAAAGCGCGCGCTTTGAGATTTCTCGAGATCAGCTTGGACACCTGCTCGCGCTGGGTGATGAGCTGGGACGCGTTAAACTGGGCGACGACCGACTTGAGGACCTCGTTGACGATGCTGGGGAGGACGCGATCGTCCCAGTCCGTGCCCAGGGTGCGGTAAATGGCGGGCAATTTCATAGCGTCCGGCCTGCTGAGGACGCGCAGTGTGATGGTGACCATCTGCAAGTCGCGCGACCCCGTGAGACTCTGGATGTTGCGCGGCTTTGCGCGCACGTCGTATACGATGGGCATGTCGATGAAGGGAATGCGGAAGTGGGTGCCCTCGCCGTAGACGTTTTCGCGCACGCCCATGACGCGGTTGAAGAGCACGGCGCGGTGGCCGCCGTCCACGTTGAAGAGGCCGTAGCGGTAGGCTGAGGACAGGCCGACGGCGCCCGCGGTGAGCGCGCCCAGTGCCCGCAGGCCCGCAGGCCCGCCCGCTGGCATGCGCGGCATGTTTGGAAGAGGGGGGACTTGCGCCATTGCGGGGAAGTGGAGGCGAATGTGGGATGGGAGGCGAATGTGGGACGGAAGAAGGGGTAAATCGATGATCGGGAAGCCGAGAGCGGGCTGAGGCTCAAAAGGGTAGAGCTGATCGGCGGCGGTGATCGCAGGGGAGCAATTGGATGGTGTGCGCTATTCGTGATTTTTGGTAACTTTAGAGCAGGTCGAGGTCTATTGGTTGTTCTCTATGCAATGGCACATTTTTATTGGCTACTGTTCCACAGCACATTTCGTGTACACGTGTGCAATTCGTTTAAAGTGCGCGAAGGAATGAGACGCAAGTGGTGTGGAAGAGCTCCAAATTCGTCAAACTACACGTGTGCTGCACTACAGTTTCATGGCAGCCAGCACCGTAGTAGGGCATACATCTTTAATGCACCATGCATGAGCACGTCTTCCCCGGTGTCATGCTAACCGACCGTCCACGACTAAAGTATTTTACCTCTGCGACATCCTGCGATATCCCTTGTAGATTTGAGGCATGGCCTGTGAAAGTTCCTTCTGCAAAGCCGTACGTTACACCAGGTACAAACTGGACTATATAGACCTAACGTACGAACAAAACCCCTTTAGTGCCAGAACAGTCTTTCACAAAACAATTGTTTACGTAGTAGTAACAGAGTACAGAGCTATATAGTTTCACAGCTAGTTCCTCAAAACTACACCAGAACTCTGGGGCTGCGACCAGAAGTCGTCCGCGCTCTAAAGGTTAGAGAGGACGCACCTACAGATACGCTGCGTCCTGCACGGCCTAGCAAAGCAGCATAACCCAGGCGCGGGGGGACGGAAAGGCGGCACTCTGGGCGGCAGAGGAGGCAACGGAGACGGCAACGGACGAGGACGACGCGGACGACGAGGACGACGAGGACGACGAGGAGGCCTCGGCCTGAGCGGCCTCGGAGACGGCGACGCACCCGGGACGACGAAGCCGGGAGGCACGGGGCATCCCTTGCTCTTGCATCCACCACCGAAGAGGATCTGTTGGCCACCCGGCCCGGTTATAATTCCACATCCCTTGCTCTTGCACTGACCGCCGAATACAATCTGCTCCGGAACTGCCCCGAAGGGGCATCCCTTGCTCTTGCAGAAGCCAGCAATCTGTCTTTCCGTTTCCAACGTGTCCAGCATGAAGCCTTCGGTCGTATTAACGAAGTGGCTGGGGTACCTCGACTTGGACTTCGGAAGCGGGGGCCGACGGCTAGGACGCGGCCCAGGACGGCGGGACGGACGAGGCGGACTGCCGCCAGGGCATCTCTTGAACACGCAGCGCCCGCGGTTACCACTGCAGATAACCTCGGCACGCGCGCAGTCAAACTCCGTCATAACTCCACTGCACGATCCAGAGGCCGAGAAGTATCCCAAGGCTGCGAGACTCGGGCTCAGTGAGCCAGACATGCACTGTTGGCGGTAGCCGCGAAGGCACCCGTCAGGCGTGCAGCAGATCGGTTGGGGGCGGCGAGGCGGAAGCGGGCGACGCGGGCGACGGGGAGGACGCGGGCGAGGAGGCTGGGGAGACGGGCTCAGACCAGGAATGGCGAAGCCTGGAGGCACGGGGCAACCCTTGCTCTTGCATCCACCCCCAAAGAACACATCACCAAAGGGACCACGAAGGATGCCGCAGCCTTTGCTTTTGCATGTTTGACCAAAAAAGATTCCGTTCGGCGGAAGAGGGATGAATTCACCTGGGCCGCACCCTTTGCTCTTGCAAGGGCCCCCGCCGAAGAATTGACCGAAGGCTGACGAAATTAGGAAAAGCAGCAAAAAGCTGCGGAGGGTAAACCGCTTGTCCATGGTGCTGTGGAAGTGGATTAGCTCACTGGTGATGGTCGGAGGACAATGGGGGAGGGGACTTAGGACTGCTTTTTATACTTTTCCGGCGAGAAAGTCCGTGTTCGAAGAATATCGTAAGCTACACTGCACCTGCGCCATCATGACTATGTCAATAGTGTAAGAGATTGATAGTCGATTTCATCCCATATTGCGGTGCAACTGCAAGAAGATTGGTTTGGATCAAGACGTAGGTCGCAGGTAGAGGGTATGGGCGGTCGACCACAAAATAAACCAAACAGGGACGTCATCAGGGTGCCGAAAGTCTACGCAGAGCACATGAGTTGTTTACAACTTGAATTGTGTCAATATTCAAATGCTAACATGAGAATTATCTTCTTCCATTTCGAGAAATGTGTCTCGGACTCCTGTGGACATGCAAAGATTGGTTTACGCTGTTCCGGGGCTACTTTAAGGGTCCCTTAACAGCGATGTTCAGAATTTTACTGATGTTACTGTACCAAGGGTACCCATGGGTACTGTGGAAGACATTGGTATCTGACTCAGATACTCCTATGATTCTCCCATGACGTTGCACATGCGAGGCGCTATCGTCGCTTAAACGACTGTATGGACGGATTGAGGGTACCTCGAATCTGCAACTTTGCAGGTACTGAAGTTTTTTTTCGTGTGTGTGTGCTCCTTTAGTTCAGTGCGGCCTAGCGAGGACATCGTAGAGTATGTCACGGGGCTACTTCCAGTTTGTCTACAGTACAGTATACTGTATCGTTTCGTTCGCTGTAGATACAGCACTGTATCCCACTTGCTCCCGCTCTTCCTTGACGGTCTAGCTCCAATATGAATCTGGAGTACAGTGTGTGCTGTTTTACAATGATCCGTGAAGGTCTCTACGCATGTGGGAGAAAATCTGGTAAGAACCCATGCTAACTCAAGCTTCTTGTCCCATAAGTTCTGACCGATGGCCAGGGATTGCAGGTGGTGAAAGCTGTACACAGAATTCCGATGCCAAGGTATGGATGGCATCATCACGTAGCTCTTTCTAAGTTTTCGAGATAATTGGGCGTGAGTCGCAGAAAAAGTGTGTTCTACAGTAGGACAAATACCGGGTACAATACCCAACCCCAACATAGCTGCACTCGAGAAGGTTCCGTTGTTGAAGGAGATTCGCTTGTGTCATCCAGATTTCTACTCCTTCGATTCAAATATGTCTACTGTAGACTAACAAAGTGCCGTGTAGCATCAACGACAAATCGAGGCTTTACAGAAAAACTATAATTTCAATGACTTCAAAAGCCTGTACATCAATTAGTAGGCCAGGAATACAATTCGGCCGATTTTGGTACAAGGAATGAAGAGACTTCTGAAATGTGTGCACTCGCGCATACTACCCTTCTGAAGGGTAAGCAGTGAAGGGATAAAACTTTGTTTTCAATAATTCGAGTCGATGCTCGCAAAGGCAAGCACAAGTACTGGTAGGGGTAACAATATGAAAACCCGAGACTTCGTTACAGAGCATCATCTATGGCCCAGCGTCGCTGGGATTGCGCCCCTTTGTCACGAAAGTAACTTTATATCACTCCACTCGGGATCGATCGTACCTCTGACAAAAGTATCATAATGATTTGTTCTACGATAGAACCACCAAGAGCGGGCAACCCGAAAAGATAGGATGCTGCGCATATGCGTCGGAAAAGTTCGATTTTGATGACTTGACAGCGCTCTTTCTCGACGCGCAAGAGCGTCCCATCTGGAAAACACCTGAAATTCATGCTGTTTGAATTTATTGCAGTTCGCGTGAGTATACTGTACCCTTGGGTACTTTTCTAAGAGCGAATATGGAAAGGAGCAAGGTTGGAAGAGCTGGCACCCAGTAAACGCTGGATGCCAGGCGGGGGGGAACAGATTGATACCTGAAAAGGGAATTGTAATTGATGTGCGATCCACGTCAGCATTCGACAAGGGACTATCATTGGCACCAGCGCCAGCGACAGGCGTCCGTCCTGCCGTCCTGCACCGTGAAATCGCTTACAATCATCTGTTGCTTCGTTTAACGTCCAATACAGTACCCTAAGGGTACTGCATGATTCCTCACATCTGACTACTGTACCGTACACTATTCTTCTCGCTCGAGGTCACTGATCGCTTGGACTCTCGCTTTACACCTCCTGTTAGACAGTAGGCCGTTCTTCGTTTCTCCTTTCGTCTTTCGTTCGCGTTCGCCGTGTCTCTCGCCATGAATTCAAATCCGATATCCATCTCCTTTTTGAAACCTAGCCAGAATCAGACGCCAACACCTTGCCACTCGCCACATCCATCTCGCCGAACAAATGCAATGTTTCACAGAGAACGCAAAATCAACTGTACTATTCCGGTAACTCATAAAGCCAGTATTACTGTGCGATATAATGTTACACTCGGTGCTCCTGTACCTAGTTCAAACCACAATCCTGCCTGTCCCCTGAACGAGTTCCCACAATCAAAAACTTGCCCTGCCCCTACGTACAAGAACCACAGTCAACCAATCCCCTCTCCTAAACACTCCCTCTGTCTTGTCACATCTGCACCTTTCTCATCGTCCCTACCACTGTATCTCCCTCCTTCTTTACCTATTTTTGTGTAAGCAGTTCCCACTCACTTCCCTATTTTATCTCTCCACCTCTCCCTCGCCTACACACTCCTTCGTGTAGTCCATTTTGCAGCAACCGCGCCATTGCCTCCATACCGACTTATCCGTTCTCCTGTCCCCCCGTTCTCCACTTTTGTCTCACACCGACCTTCTCTCGTTGACGCCGCACCTAGCCATCGTACTCTTGCCCACGCATCCCTGAATGAGATTCTTCTCCATGAATCCAGGAGCGGGTATGGGTCCTTCCCCCACCGCGAAGCCCACGGACCGTTTCGGGTCGGGTCTCTCCAGCAAATCGACAGCGCTAAAGTCTCTTCTTCTCGCCCTCGTTGCCATCATGATGTCACTTTCTTTCGTTTCAAGGCAGCCGGTACTCCTTGAAGCTAACCTGCCTGTCGAATCAGACTTGGCCGCCCTAGTCGGATCCGAATACCTCCACGCTGACGCTGTGAAGGACGGTTTCAACCCCCTAGAAGATGAGGCGAACAGTGACGAGGTTCTGCCGTATGAAGCATACATCGACATATTTGTCCGCAACGCCGACCCCGATCAAGAATTGCTGCAG